GTTTTTTAAAAAATTTATTTGTTCATTTGTTTTACCTTTTCTACAAATTTCAAACTCTCATATAGTAACATAGTTTTCTAGGTGCATAACGTTTTTCTAAGGGACAACCTAACCTTATAGAAAGCTAAACTAATAGGAAAAAGTTTATATAACTGTGTGGCTCTAAATAATCAAATTAAGGCATACCTCAAAAATGTCACTAGAAGACGTTGTTTTGATGCTCAAATATCCTTAAATTGATCATCTCGACTTCAAGATGCATGGACATGAGGAAAAAATAGATTTTAAGTTTTAAAAATAGTGCATCTTGTAATACATTTTTGGATCATGAATTTTCAAGATTTTCAAGTTCTCATAGATCAAATCGATTTACACTATTTTTTAAAGGCTATATTTAATAACTAGCGATAAAAATATAATTTAAGGTTATCACAAAAATTCCTAATTTTAAAAACACATTTCTTAATACTATTTGAAGGTACGCTTTACTTTGATTGTTTAGTGCCTCGGCTCGGCACCCTAAACTCAATGCAACCCATGTACAAGTGCCTTGAACTTTCAATAAGCCAAAAGATTTCATGCTCCCAGGGGGGCATACTATCTATTTACTCCCTCGGGGGAAACCCAATCTAGAAGTATTTTGGGACCCTAAAAATTGGGGACGTAAGCTCCTCAACTCATATGCTAAATTCAATATCTCTATTGGCTTGAAAAAATAATGCCTTAAGATTGAATAAAAAATGTTTAATATTTTGAAAGGTGTTAAAAAAATCAAAATTCAAATTTTTTTTTTTCTTTTGGGCATAATAAAAAAAATTCCAAATCAAAAAAATTTCCTCAAATTCGAAAAATTATTTTTGAACTTTATGTCTAGTCAATGACACTCTTACTGTTACATTTGGTGCTATCAAAAATCACCCACATAAAAATAATCGTATATTTTGTGGGATTGATATTGATATTGATAAGGTTCCTAAAATAAATAGAAATCCAAAAAGATTTAGAAATCTTGGATTTATTTCTTAGTCTTTTGATATATATGTTATATCAATAAGAAGTTTCCCATTTTGTATGGATTCTTAATTATAAATATGAAATGAAAGTGCAGATAATTTGTGTGCCCTATTTGGATCACTATATAGGAATGGTGGTTCCTCTAGAGAGAGAATGAAGAAGAGCTTCATATGTATAAGTTGTGATTTCCTTCTAGAGAAAAAACTTCATTTCGACATAACACTGTGATGTGCCTCTTTTGGACTCCTGTATGTGATTTCCTCTTAGAGAAGAGAGCTTCCTTTCAACAGAAATATTGTGATGTGCCTCTTTTGGACTCCTGGAGATTGAGAGGCTTGTTTCTTGTAGAGAAGCGGTTCCCGTGGAGATTTTGGGTTGTTTTTTTTTTAAATTAGATAAAATCTCTTTTGCTCTCAAAGTTATTCTCTTCCTATAAAGTGGCCTAGTTATGGAATTGAGATGAGAGATCGACAGTGATATCGTTTGGGAGAGCACGTTTTAAAGAGTTTGCTTGACTTGGTTTTTACCGAGGTTTGTTCCAAAATCTTTGATATAACTAGAGCAGGCTTAAAAGGGTTTTACTCGACTTGGTTTTTGTCGAGGTTTGTTCCAAAATCTTTGATGTAACTTTTATTGGTATATCGGATTTCTTTTTGCCATGTTTGTGGATGTAAACCCTTTTGGGGTGAACTACGTAAATATTTGTGTTCTTGTGGCATGTGTTTCATACTTCATATCTCATATTTTATTTGCCAAAATATTAACCCATCGGGTTTAGAGCTTCCGCGCACTACAAGTGGTACCAGAGCACAACACTTACAACCATCTGATTTGAAATATGATGTACAAAAGTAATTGTAACCTCCTATTATGAAAAGTAAATTGTGCCTTTGTTTACTTTTCCTAGAGGGTGCGGTTTGTATAGAGCCGAGGCTCTGTAAAAACCACCTTCATATAGTGTCAAGAAATATGGTTTCAATAATGGAAATCTTTGTGATAGCTTTAAAATATATTTTCATCTTTAATTATAAAATTTTAAGCTTCAAAAATATTGTAGATCGAGTAGATCTATGAAAACTTGAAAATCTTGAAAATTGATGATCCAAAAATACGTTACAAGATGCACTATTTTTCAAAACTTGAAATCATTATTTTCTCATGTCCACGCATCATGATGTCGAGATGATCAATTTGAGGATATTTGAGCATCTAAACAACTTCTTCGAGTGAAATTTTTGAGATGGGCTCTAATTTGATTTTTTAGAGCCTTAGCTCTATATAAACTTTTTCCTTTCCTAAAAGAAATAAAACAAAATGCTCTTGAAACAAGAGATTACACATAGAAGTAAAGAAAATGTAATATCGATCCAATAATTGTAGAACACAAAAAATAAAAAAAAAGTCATGAGATTCCATCCCAATATTGAGTAAATTTCTCTTCGAACACGACATAAGTAAAAAAAAATGGAATATCCATGCAACAATTGTAGAAGACAGAAAAGTTAAGAGATTCCATACCAATATTATGAATCAACACTCCTGTGAATGATGGCAAAAAGTTATACAAAAGAGAGGAAGTCATAGGCAAATTTGCTTGAAGCAAAATCAACATCACAAAGAGTCACTATAAATTCATTCGCCCCAAAATGCGCTCCCTCATTTTCCACAACTGAGTCAATGAATGGTAGACGACAATATAACTACACACTTTGTATAATTCGGGGTGTTACGTCTCTCTATCAAAAACATAAAGGACAATATCTTATTATCTTTTATTTTTAACTTTCATGTCTCATGAGATTAAAAATTGAAAATATTACTTATAAGCGAAAAGGTCTCCATCTTTCTTTTCTTACAATCCTTTAGACCTTTTTTACCATAAATGTTTTATTAAACAAATACTAAAATGACACCCTATTCAAACTTCTTCACTCTCTCTTCGCTTTTACCAAACAAGGGGTTTAGTTTGAGCTCTCGCTTTTACCAATCAAGGGGTTTAGTTTGAGCTCGAATACGAACATACTTTCTTATGTGTGAGAGAGAGATATAGTTTTAGAGAGAGAGAGAGAGATGGAGTTTGGGTTTTAAAGAGAGATGGAGTTTGAGTTTTAAGGAGAGATGGAATTTTGAAAGAGAGACTATGATGTGAGAGAGAGATATGGAGTTTGGGTTTTTGAGAGAGAGAGATGGAGATTTAGAGAGAGAGTGAGATAAAATCTTATCATAAGTTATTGAGGTCAATAATACATAGTCAAAAGGGTTTAGGGGGTTGAAAGATAGAAAAGATGGAGTCTTTTTTTCTTACAAATAATATTTTCAATTTTTGGGTCTGATGAGATATAAAAATTAAAAATAGGGGATAATAGGATATTTTTCCATAAATAAATTAAAACCCGGTTTTTATGTATCCTCAGGCTTACACTATTCTTGTGCGGGCTCTGTCCAACAACCATTTTTTATATAGTTCTTGGATCCAAAGTTGGAGAGATCTATGATCTATCCTATAAATGAATATAAAAAATAAAATAAAATTTTACATTTGTTTTAAAAAAAATTTCTATTCATTGGATAGGAATCTTTAGTTGTGGAGATTCATCTTAAAGATAGATGTTTGTGAGTAAGCAAGCTAATGAATTTGTTGACTCACAAAATAATTTTTCAATAAATTAAGCCAAAAGATTTCATACTCTTGGGGCATTTACTCCCTTGAGTAAAACCAAACCTAATATAGAAGTCCTTTTAAGGCCCAAATTTTGGGGATATCACATATTGATCGTGCAGATTTTTTATTTTTATTTTTTTTCAAGGAAGATTTCTAAATGGAACACTCTGATGTATAATGGGGATGTCAATGGGCCGGGTGGCCCAGATCCGGTAGCCTGGCCCTAAAAGTTAGAGCATGAGCCACAAAATGTGGCCCATGGGTGGTTGGGGCTAGGGTTGGTCAATTATGGCTGGTTTTAGTGCTCGAATCAGTCTTTGATTATTGAGATTATGAAAGCATCCTACAATGACTTCTTCGATTGCGTGATCAGCCTCCCCAAGCCTTGTAAGGCAGCCAAGAAAGTTAGAAAGTTTGTGGGCCTCTTCCTGTCCTGAACCCGTGAAAACACTCGAGGAAGATATTTGACAAGATGGTACTTAAGGGAATTGAGATCGAATCCATAACTATTCAATCCTTGACAAATGGTACAATGAATGGTCTGGTTTACCCGGCTTGGAAATTAAACAACTTAAACATGTATAAAAAGTGAAAGGAAGCATTTTTTAGCATATATTGATCGGGATGTTCATAAATTGTAGGACAGGGCCAAACAACCACAACTTAAGTGTAGGGCCGGGCCAAGCCTATGCGATGGCGCCACCCAGCTCTCTTTTTCTTTGTTTTTCTTCCAATTTTATTTTATTTTAATTGACTAGTCGGCCCCATGAGGGGAGCCAGGCCTAACCCTTTGCCGGCCTTAATGTGGACTAACAAGCCTAGTGGAGGATACTATCTCTAATTTCCCATTTTAGTGTTGCGTGTTGCCAATTTTACTTGACTTGGCTGAGAAAGGGACACAGGGCTCCTTTCTCTCGGATGTGTCGATTACTTGAAGTTTTTTTCCCTGAATCTTGCTCATTACATTCTTTATTACTGTCGGAGTTAAAGCGTAAACGTCCGTCTCCGTACTATGAACTCTCTTGTCCATCTCGAACGCTCCTTAATGTAACGTGTGGCGTACAGAGTGTTGCTCGTGCAGAGCTTCACTGTGTTAAGTGCCCGTTGCTCAGCACCGTGAGTTGTTTTGGTCCCCACATAACTCACTGCATAATTCCAACACGTGTCCTTTTCTTGGTCGCCCCTTCTCTCTCTTCCGCATGTCTTTTTCTCATTCCCCGACAACTGACGGAAACATCCAAAAGACACCCTGCCTCCGATGACCACCGCTCTTTCGGACCGCCAAATCTTCTATTAACCCTCTTTCTCTCTCTAAATCTTCTGTAAACCTCTCTCTCTCTCTCTCTCTGAAATAACCTCTTTCTCTCTCTAGAGAGCTTAGTTTTATAACCCCAGTCCACCCCAGTGCCTCTATTTAACAAATCATGAAATGTAATTTCAAACTGATTTTCCTACTCTCTCGCTCTCTCCACCTTACAGAAAACCCATCTCTCACCTCCTCTTCTCTCTCTATATTCTGCAAAAAAAACCCATCTTGGGGGAGAACCCATCACTCTCTCTCTCTCTGCAAAAAAAACCCATCTTGAAGGGAGAAGAGAAGCCATCTCTCTCTCTAGAGAGTGGTAGATTCGGGCAATGATGGCGGTGGGAGTCTTGACTGCCCCCATCCCAAGAGCATGCAAGTTTGAGGCTAAAACCTTTTCGTTGAGAGAGTCAGGAACTGAGAGACTTGGGGTATGGCTTCTCTGTCCACCGAAGAGGAGGCGTGTTTTGGGTAGGGGGTTCACTGTGTGTTTTGTGATGGAGGAGCAGAGAGAGAAAGAGAAGTTCCAAGGAGTGGTTGTAGCGAGAGAAGATGTTCCAGAGAAGATTGCTAGAAAGAGGTCGGAGAGACACGCTTATCTCTTAGCTGCTGTTCTTTCCAGCCTCGGCATCACAACCCTGGCTGCAGCCGCTGTGTATTACAGATTTGCTTGGCAATTTCAGGTCCAATCCATTGTGTTCATCTCTTTCTTCTTCTAATGTTATTCATTTGTGCTGTATTTACTGTAAATGGTTTGATAAGGATTTGATATTTTGATATTATTTTTTAGTAATTGCCTTCCTTCTAGCTACCCCACCAAAAACAATGGCTTATTTTACCAACCCCAAAAGCGCAATTGCTTCCTTTCTCTCTGTTGCATTTTCAGAAACAGAGGATTTCTAAATGAAAAGGTTGGGGTGTCAATAGTTTCTTACATTTTACCATGAACAATTGAGTGGTTTGCTGAGTTCAGTGTACATTCTGATAAGATAGAGCTACTAAATTTGTGAAGCTGTGTATTTTTATATTCTGATACATGAAATGTGTGATGTTATTAATTTCCTGTGTGTCAGTGATTGCATATACTTACTTTAGAGAGGATCTTAGCCATTCAATGAATGAATTTGGCTTGAATTGTTGATAAATTTATCTTACATGTGATAAGATGCTCAAAGAAGCAATCGTTGATTATAGAGAATCAGGATATGGGTTTGTTGGAATGCTGAATTTGCGAAGTCCTTGAAGAAGTTTGGTTGTACCCCAGTTGAGGTTTGAGATTTAATCTTGACAGCTATGGGGAAGAAACAATCATTGTTTTGTGCTCTTTTGTCCAAGTGCAGATGCCCATTTTGCAACTTCAGAGAACAAGAAATTTAGGGAGCAGTGAAAAGGAATTATGTCTGAATGTAAATTAGGAATAGGCTTCTGTGGCAATGAAGTTCCTTGCATAAGGAAAACGGACTTCTGAAACAACGGATATCAGATAGTCGCGTGAAATTCATGAATTGGTTGTATAAGAACGAGAGTGAGAACCAAGTTCTCAATAGTTCCTGGTTGTATCTCCAAATGCATGTCACAGACATAACCTCCCTCCTAACATCATGATGGCAAATGCAGAGAGAGAGAGAGAGGAGGGGAGAGAGAGAGAGAGGAGAGAGAGAGAGAGTGAGATTCAGTCTTCTTTTATTTCTCTGTTTCTATTCAGCTTTTCTTTTTTCTCTTCTTTCTTTGCCCTATGTTTGTGAGCATCTCTGTGTATGTGTGTGTGCTTGTCCAGAATCTGTTTTATAGTCTTGATCTTAATTTTTATAGGGTGGGGAGGTTCCTGTAACCGAGATGTTCGGAACATTCTCACTATCCGTTGGTGCAGCTGTAAGTATTCTCCTTACCACTTCTGTACTTGGCTCTATCGCTGATCATTATTTGTTAATGAATTTTCTTTTGATGGAGTATGGAACCCAATACTTGTCGAAGTAAGTGGTTTCTTTCTTTGCAGGTGGGAATGGAATTCTGGGCGCGATGGGCACATCGTGCGCTATGGCATGCGTCTTTGTGGCATATGCATGAGGTATTCATTTCTTCTTTCTACTTCAGATTGCAGATGCAGCATGGGCTTTTTTGTCACACGATTCTCATTGAAAAATAAAAATAGTAAGAGAACACAGCTTCTTCTTACTAGAGAGATGAAGGATAAAATGCTATTTTCAAATTCTACTAATCAGAAAGTTCTTTGAACCCCTTGTGTTATTTATAGCAGGGTCCATATTTTAGCCTATAGATCATCCTTTTTCCTTTCTAAATATCTGTGACATTTTTCTCTGCTTTTCAGTCTCATCACAGGCCAAGGGAGGGGCCATTTGAGCTGAACGATGTATTTGCCATAATCAATTCTGTCCCCGCAATCTCTCTTCTATCATATGGCTTCTTCAATAAGGGTCTCGTTCCAGGCCTCTGCTTTGGTGCGGTGAGTACAAACACATTAGACCTAACCTATAAACGAAAATACCTTCCAAATTCTGCCATGATTATATGCACAGATACACATATACACAAGTACATAGAGAAAAACACAGAGAGAATTAATCAAAGTGATAAAGATTACTCGGCTACTCACAGTTGGTGAACTTTCATTGTGCTACTCGTCAAGATTTTCTGCCAAACAAATTTGTGCTGGAACATTATTTGTATTTGCGAGATATGAAATGGAAGGCAGTCATAAAGGACAAGCATATTTGTCATTTGTTACCTGGTAAGGATAATCCTGTCGGAGAGGTTATGCCTCCCAATGATTTACAATTATCCTTGTGCCCTATCTATGACTTTCTTTCAGCCGCTGATAAATGATGCAAATCATCGCACCTATTCAAAAATGCCTTGCGGAAAGTAGTGAAGGCATCATCTCACAAGAATCTCTCAAATATATAATAGAGAACTTTAGCATACATATACAAAATGTGTTTGTGTGTGTTTGTTGACTTGTTCATGCAAGGATGGCATATGATACTTCCGAGAGTTTCAGGGACTTGGCATCACAGTGTTTGGTATTGCATACATGTTTGTACACGATGGTCTCGTCCACAGGAGGTTTCCAGTGGGTCCCATTGCAAATGTGCCTTACTTTCGCAAGGTTGCGGCAGCCCACCAGGTAATCCCTGCGACAACGTGTGCCTTATTGCAAGAGAGCCTTCTCCAAAATTCTAGTCATGGAATTGGAAAAGCGGACAACTAAACTCAATTATAAGTTTGATTGCAGATACACCACGCAGACAAGTTTGATGGAGTGCCATATGGACTGTTCCTCGGACCAAAGGTGGGGAAACTTTCTCAGATTACACCCAAAAGGCCCCATTTGTTTGCATTATTTTCTTAATTTACTTATTTGGTTTAATTTTTTGTGCTGGTTTTTTGTTCATGACTCACAGGAATTGGAAGAGGTGGGAGGGGTTGAAGATTTAGAGAAGGAGATCCAGAAGAGAATGAAAATCTCAAAAAAATTGGCTCAAGACTGATGAAATAGAGAGATTTGAAACTAGGAGATGGTATTTGGCATTGATGGGGATAGGATGAACTGTTACCATGGGCATTTGGGTGGTTGCACTATCAGCAAAGCCAATAATCTTTGTTGTATGTATTTCAGGTTGCCACACCAAATGAAAAGTGAGGTCCCTGTATTTTGTGTAGTTTGGGGTTTCTTGCTTCGGTCAATGTAATATCTGAATTCAAATGGAGTTTTGATCCAGAAGTGCTTTTTGAGCAGTATGACTTTTCTCCAATAATGGTGGATGAACACTTAAGAACATTATAGTTACACTTAAACCAATTTACAAAGGATCTTGAATTTTCCGTGCATTCGCACACACACATATAAAGAGAGTTTGGCAATTTCATTGTGGCAAAAATCTTCGAGTAAGAGATTTTCAGTCTCATTCGATGCATTACACTGCCAAGAGCGTTTGGCAATTCATTGCGGCAAAAATCTCAAGATATTCTCAATCTCATGCGACGCATTACGCTGCGGTTCTATCTCTATCCATTCTTCTGGTCAGGGTTGCACCATAACCTCAATAGGGAAATCATTGACATGTTTTGAAGGATGGTTGACAATTTTGATGCTCACATCCGTATCCTCTTGTGACAGAAAGCGTTTTCTAGGGCTGTTGAAGGTCTTCGTTGATTTGATTAATCTATGTTTTATTGTAGCCCATATATGATCATATATTTCATCCAAGATAAGTTTATGATTTTTTTTTTTATGTAAATTTAATGGTTAACATAAATTCATACATAAAAAGAACATTTCAATATTCACATATTGATGGAAAAAAAAAAAAAGTTAATAATGTAATGCCGTATTTTTTATTGGATTTCTAAAAAATAATATTTATAATGATTTTTAATAATTTTTTTGAATTTTTTTATTGTCGAACCCAACCGATTCAATTGATTTTCGATCAGAACTGTCGATTTATCGATCCGAATGGGTTTTTGAGGTGTCCGATCCGATCTATTTTTTAAACCAATGTTTTGTATTATTTTAATTTGAGATTGTATACAGTGAGATTATGTACTTTTGGAGCAGGAAGGTCACAATTACTTATAATCAATGTTAAAAAAAATGGACTCGATTAAGATAATCGGGACGTTGTCGATGCGTGTTATTCGGGTGAGTCCGAATAACTTGTTTAAGTCCAGCTCATTTTTTTTAAAAAAATAAAAATAAAAATAAAAAATAAAAAATGAAAAATGAAAACGAACTTATACATAATATAGACCTTCTTTTTTCATTTAATTCGTAAATTAGTGCGTCTAATATTAAAAGAGATCTTTATAATATAAGAGGTTTCTAGCAGGGTTTTTATGATCCTTCCATGGCACGACTCAACTGGGGTTGGAAAGTTCGTTCCTTCCATGGCGCGACTCAACTGGGGATGGAAAGAGTTTTTTCAACCGTCTAAAAGAAAGCTTTCACACCTGATTGATTTGAAAGCGAGAAAAGTAAAAAACGCAGTGCGAAAAATTGGAAGAGCAGTATTCCAAGTGCAAAGAGAGAGACGTCAATTCACAGAGGCAAGTGCTCCGTACCGGAAGAATCTTTGAATTTAATTTAAGGGCATCGTAAGTGCTTTTTGGCCCAAATGCGTGGAAGATTGCAAGGGACAATGGGCTGCACGCTAACCTGTTCTTGCCGTGCAATCAACCGCGTGTGCTTTTTGCGATGCTTGCTTGCCCTATTATTCACTCTATCCATTCAATAATGGACGAGGTTTCTATTAGTCCTAGGATGTATATATAGATATGCGGCCCCTTTTTTTTTTTATTAAGATGGATTTTGGAGTTAATTTTTCTGATATATATAATCTCTACTATGGATATCATTAATACGTAAAGTGAAATAAATAAATAAAATAATATTTTTTTGGAAAAAATTCTTGAAGGTTAGATCTATTTTTTTAGGAGGGAGACATCTAGATCCATTTTACAAATGGATGTTTCTTAATCCTGAATTGTATTAGGTAGGCGAACATAAAATTTGCCAAAGCTTATCATGGAATCATTAACATGATATCTGGGCTTGCATAAATGAAAAAATGCATCATGTGCTACTTTTGTTTCAATGGCCCATTGGAATTGAACGAAGTCACAAAAAGTATGAGGTGTTTGGATTTGACAACATTGCAAATCTAGCTTTTCCCAATGCAAACTTCTTTGGCATTTTTGTTTCTTAGGAAATCGCCAAGCACTGACATGGTGGGGCCAAGTTGATTGTAGACTTTTAGTCACAAGCTCCTGTTCGTATTATTCTGATATGTCCTTTATTGACCTTGAATATATAATTTTATTCTATTCCATTCATAAAAAAAAGCCAAAAAATACCTAATAATAGTGACCCCTGTATAGATGGAGAATTGCAATCCAACTTTTAATTAACTGAGATTTGATTGAGAGGTAACTCAAGATGTAGGGGTTTCAACAAATCTATCTACGGACTTAAAATAAGGGAGGGTATGTCTTTTTCATCATCAAAGTAGGTCTTTGGATTGAGGGAGTAGAAATAAACCATGCTTATGCTTTTTTCGGGGTATGTTAAATGTGTCTTTTTTTTATTTATTAAGTTATCCGGTGCATATACTACGCTCACGTGGAAACATGTCTACACATATACTTCCTCATTCAAAGACCTCATTATGAGATTCTTTCGCTTTGAATCTCGAGTATGATACTTAGATCTTGCCCTTAAAAAATTAAAAAAAGTTTATATAGAGTCGAGACTCCAAACAATCAAATTAGATCCCACCTCAAAAAATTCACTAGAAGTTCAAATTGATCATCTCAACATCAAGATGCATTGACACGAGAAAAAAAATGAATTTCAAGTTTTGGAAATAATGCATCTTGTAAGGCATTTTAGATTGTCAATTTTCAAGATTTTCAAGTTTTCATAGATATGCTCGATCTACATGATTTTTTACGCTTTAAATTTTATAATTAAAGATAAAAATATATTTTAAGACTGTCACAAGAATTTCCAGTATCGAAACCACATTTCTCAACACTAATTGAAGATGCACTTTAGTTTGATTGTTTAGAGCCTCGCCTCTATATAAACTGCAACCTAAAAACTTATATAGTTTTTTAGACTGTTCTTTTTTTACATAGAGATTTCAAATCGGATATTTTTTTTTTCTCTTTTTTCAGTTAGTCGATGGGTTGAAGAGGTTACATCTCCAAAAATCATAGTCCTAAAATTATGCCGATATTGGGTTTTATGCAAGGGAGTAGTATACTCCAATGAGAGTATAAAATCTTTAGCTATTTGAATTATAATTGGACCTGGTTTTTATGCGGCAATGCCTGCATATGTAGAAATGTGTGCTTCTTAATAAATCTATTTTTTAGATAGATTTTAAGACTTAATTTTTAAGGACATATAATCTCTAACATCGAGATCATGAATATTAAAAAATAAATAAATTTTAAAAACTAGAAATAATAGTTCTAGTAAGAAAACATTTGGACCGTTAATTTCCACTGTTTGTAGATGGATGCTTTATACTTTCTGGATTGCATAAGTAGAAATGCGGTTCAGCCCGCATGACACAATTTTCCATTGTAATTAGTAGAATGGACTTAATACCATTGTATTAATACTTTAAAATAAATGAGAACCTCTCTCCCACTCTCTCTCTCTCATCCATCTATGTTTCCTAAAAATAAAGATTGTTTCTAAAAGTAAAAATGAAACCCAAAATTCAAACTAAAACACATTCGCATCTCTCGGTTTCTAATAATGTCACTATCTTTTCCTTCTCATCTATCTAAACTCACAGCATCTCTCATTTAACCCCTCTCTCTTGTCTGGAATAAATTTTGGGAAAGTATTGTAAGACTACTTACCTTTAGTACAATAAGATCGCAATCAATTTTAGATGTTGGATGCGGAATTGCACAACTGGGGTAGGACGCAAACAAAGGTAAAGAGATGGCTTAATTGGATTTGTTTATAACCATAATCTAATATCATATTAGATCTTATTTTATTCGCTCTTTCAACTTAAACAATTAAATTTCATTAGATATAGGTGGGGTTCGTCAAATTACGACTCATAGATAGAGCTAATCTAAAGGGATCGGCCATCTCTAAGAATTGCATGCAGAGTCGGCTTGAAATAGCACAAAAACCAAAAAATAGACTGAAACAAGGAATAAAATAAAAGCCCTAAATAAAAAATTAATTGAGAGAAAGAGAAGAGAAACTTACTTGCCCATATCAGAATTACAAGTTGATTTATACATTTGGTATCTTCTCTTTCACCATGACGAATTGGCTTAGAAGGGTTTTTGAATTGGATCTTGGGTTTTTTCTTCCTTGAGTCTTGTAGAGTATTTTGTGGGTAGAGAATTTTAGGAGATTTGGCTTAGGGTTTTAGCCTAGGGTTTTCTAGATCTAGATTTTCCACTAGCTTAAGAGAATTTTTGAGGGATTTTCTAGGAATTTTTTAGTTTTTTTGGGTGTAGGGATTTTTCTAATATATTTTGGGCTGTTTATAAAACTTTTAAAGGATTTTTCTATGGTTTTGGTTTTTTAAGGGTCCTATATTTTTCTAGGGAATTTAGGCTTTTCCAAGGAATTTTTATATGATTCTTCTGTGGAGGATTAGAGGGGGTTAATATGGGCATGGATCGTAGGCATCTTCTAAGAAATATGTTTTTTAACATTAGGATTTTGATTGTCAACGCGCATCTAAAAATCGACCCAGAATACCCTAAAAACTTCTAGAAAGTTGAACCACTTATAGGAACCAAAATAGAAGTTATGTGAACAAAATTACTTCAGCCATATCTTCCAAATCATATGTCAAAGTGGAGAGATTCTTGGGCTGTTAGAAAGCTTACGACCTCCTCTACAATTTGAAATTAAGTTCAGTCCAATTTGAATAAGTTTTAAGGGATCTACAAAGCTAAGATTTTAGGGTATCACTTTTTAGATTGTAGGTACCAAATTGTTGTTTGGATTAGTTTTCTATTTTGTTGGGCTCAAGGGTTAAAATCTAGGTTTTAGTCCAAGATTTTTTGGGCTTCTAGCTTTTAGAGGTCGTGAGAGTATGTAAATAAAAATTTGTAATGGATTATAAACTTTAGTAAGAGTGTTTGTGTTAGTTGGCTAATCTAGGGACAAGATATCTATGACTTTGATCATGTCCAAAGCCCTTACCCTTGGGCATATGGTACTATTGAACAGGTTTTTTAAAAAGGTCATC